AACACACCCCGATCTCCCTTAACCAGCAAGAAAGGGAATTTTTAAGACTCTTTAAACCAGAAACATCATTTCAACACACACGGCTTCGAGCCGGACCCCTAAAACAAACCCACCAAAAACCCCCCGAACGGAACGCCAAGCCCTGCCGAGTTTGGGGTGATCCCATGGGATCAGCCGTGCCCTGGGAGCCGGGGAAGGGTGGGCAGGACTCACCACGGGGGATGGGGACAGGGCGATGTTGCCCACGGAAGCCTTGAGCTCGTCCACGGTGGCCGCGCTGCGCAGCGCGTCCTTGGCTTGCAGGGGTTTGATCTTGATGTTGAATTTCTTGTGCGCCTCCTCCTCCTCCTCCGACTCGCTGGAGGAGTAGAAGTGTTTTCCTTTGGTACGTGAGGAACGGTCAAGGAATTTTGTTGCTGCGATGTTCCAAGAGAGGGGATTTGGCGATCCCAAAACGGTGATCCCGAATGGGGAGGGGAAATCCTGAGCTGGGGGTGTCACTGCTGCACCCCGAGAACGTGAACTGCTAAAAAATCAGAGTAAATCCAGCCCAGGGCTTGGATCCGTGGCTGCATTTCATGGAATTGTTCAGGCTGGAATAACCCTACGGGATAATCGGGTCCAGCCATCCCCCAGCGCTGCCCCATGTCCCCAAGTGTCCGTGTCCCCACATCCACAGGGATTTTAACTCCCCCCAGGGATGGGGACTCCACCCCTGCCCTGGTGGCAATGCCTGACCAGCCTTTTCCATGGAGAAATTTTCCCAAATATCCAACTAAACCTCCTCTGGAATTCTGATCCCATATGAGGAAGGAATCCCGAGCTGGGGATGTCACTGCTGCACCCCGAGCACGGGGAGCTGATAAAAAATCAGAGTAAATCCAGCCCAGGGCTTGGATCCATGGCTGCATTTCATGGAATTGTTCAGGCTGGAAAAGCCCCATGAGATAAAAGGAAATCAAACCATTGCTAGCACTGCCCCGTGTCCCCAAGGGCCACATCCACAGGGATTTTAAACCCCCCCAGGGATGGGGACTCCACAATTTCCCTTGGCAGCTGCTCCAAAGCCTGACCAGCCTTTTCCATGGAGAAATTTTCCCAAATATCCAACTAAACCTCCTCTGGAAATTGAGGCTGTTCTCTCTCCTCCCGTCCCCTTTCCCTGGGGGCAGATCCCAAATCCCCCTGGCTGTCCCCTCCTTGCCAAAAACCAGGAATTCCTCCCTGATCCTCCTTTTTTTTTTTCTCCAGGATCACCGTGGACGTTTTGGTCTCCTTGGAGCATCCCAGGGATGTTCCCCCCACTCCTGATTTTTTTAGCAGTGAATCAAAGACAATCCAAATCCCTCAGGAATCCAGATTTATCTGCAGAGTGCCAGCTCCAAATGAAAATCAAAAAGTGGAAACAGACAATAATAATTAATAATAATTAATAATAATGAAATAAAAAGCATCAGTGGCCTGCCTGTGCACCCCAGCTCCTGTCACAGGCTGGAGGCAAATCCAAAACCAAAGGATATATCCTGGTTCCTCGGGTCTGATGCTGTATCCCTCCTCATCCAGCTCAGGTGAGTTCTGGAAAGGGAATAAAACAAAAAAAAAAATCCAGGAAAATCAGGAATGTTAATTCCTGGAAAGCTGGATCAGCTCTTTCCTCCTGTGGGAAAGGGTGTCCTGCACACACAGAGCAAAGAGCACCTCAAATTCCACAAATTAACTCAAATTCCATTGGAAATTGCTCAAATTCCATTCCAGACTAATTTTGCAGAAGGCAAGGTTTTAATCCTTGTTTATGCTTTCATAAATAGCAATATTAATATAAATAATAAATATATATTTATAATACATTTTTTTCCTGGATAAACTGCAACATCCCAGGGCAGAGCTCTCCAGAGCCACCTCATTCCTGGGAATTCTGCTTGACCTGCGGGTGTGGAATTGGTGTCTGGACAGAGCTGATTGCACCCCAAAAGCCCAAAATGAGTGTGGGGAGAGCCTGGGATTGCCGTGGGACACATCTGGATGGGGGGAACCCCCAGGGGACACACTTACATATCTGTCCCAGTCGATCTCTGCATAAAATCCATTTGGGGCTCCGTTGGTTTTCTTCTGGAAAGGAAAATTCCCGTGGTGGGCATGGGGGGAAGCAGGAACACAGCACAGCCCACAGCCAGGACACAAATCCAACAGCATTCCCCACCTCTGCAATCCCCCCAGCCCAGAGAGATGGAAGGAAGGGATTTTGGATTTCCACCCGATGAATATCCAAACATTCCTCGGGGAGAAGTGAGGAAATGTTTCTCCCGTGCTGGGATGTTCCCCTGGCAGCACTGGGAACTCCCAAATCCAGCCCAGCAGGGAAAACCGTCGGGAAATATTTCCTGGGGGATGAACAAACCCCTTCCCCATAAAGGGCAACCCCAAGAAGGATCCAGATCCCATTTTCCCACATGCCAGGTGCTGTAAATTCGGGATGGAGCAGTGGGAATGGTCCGGGATGAGTCCATGCCATGAAACACCAACACACACAGGGACTGCTGCTTGGGATCGAGGGAATTCTGTCTGGAACAAGCTCCAGGCAGGAACCCTTTCCTGGTTGGCTCCGGGCACCCAAACCCATCCCAAATCCCATGGCCACCACAATTTTGGTCTCCTGAATGGGATAATCCAGCTCCAGAGGGAACATTCCCATCCCAAATGTGGCCACCACAATTTTGGGCTCCTGAGTGGGATAATCCAGCTTTTCTGGGCTTCCAGAGGGAACATTCCCGTCCCAAATCCCATGGCCACCACAGTTTTGGACTCCTAAATGGGATAATCCACATTTTCTGGGCTTCCAGAGGGAACATTCCCGTCCCAAATCTGGCCACTACAATTTTAGGTTCCTAAATGGGATAATCCAGCTCTCCTGGGCTTCCAGAGGGAACATTCCTATCCCAAATCCCATGACCACCACAATTTTAGGTTCTTAATGGGATAATCCAGCTCCAGAGGGAACATTCCCATCCCAAATGTGGCCACCATAACTTTAGGTTCCTAATGGGATTATCCAGCTCTCCTGAGCTTCCAGAGGGAACATTCCCATCCCAAATGTGGCCACCACAATTTTGGACTCCTAAATGGGATAATCCATCTCCAGAGGGAACATTCCCATCCCAAATCCCATGGCCACCACAGTTTTGGGCTCCTAGATGGGATAATCCACATTTTCTGGGCTTCCAGAGGGAACATTCCCATCCCAAATCCCGTGGTCACCACAATTTTAGGTTCCTAAATGGGATAATCCATCTCCAGAGGGAACATTCCCATCCCAAATCCCTGCCCAGCTCTGACAGGATTCTCTCCTGGCCGCTGCCCCTCAGCTCCTCACCGTGCCCAGGGATGGAGCAATTCCCATGGATCCAAGTTTTGTGGGAATTCTGGATTCTGCCCCACGGGATTCCTGCTTTTCCTCCCCCCCCATAATTTTTTTTTATTTAACCCCCATTTCCACCATCCTGCCTCACCCCACCGGGTTTTTCCTACACTCTGGACACCAAATCGAGGACGATTCCCTGTTTTCCACACCCCTGAGCCGCCGAGCTCTGGGGTTTTTTTTATTTTTTTGTTGGTTTTTTTTCCTTACCCCGTTTTTATTTCCTCCTTCCTGCGTGCCCTCGGCTTTGCTATTGGAAGTTGGATCATTGGGATGAGGGCTGGGCTGCTGCGACCGTGGGGGCGGCACAAAAAGGGTTAAAATATCTGCTCCTCGCCTGATTTTTTTGGTTTTTTTTTTTTTTTTTTTTCGTTTTAAATGCACAAAATTAACTTTTAGGAGCTAGGGAACACGGATTTGTCGGGAAAGGGAAGCTCAGCTGCGGCTCCACCAGGATTAAAAGTGGATTTTTCTGTGGGGGTCTATTCAGCAGTCAGGATTCTCCTCCAAAAATTATGAGGAAAAGGGTCTGGAGGATGAAAAATTATATTTAAAGTCTCGATCTCTCACCAAAAACTACGTGGAAAAGCGTCTGGAGGATGAAAAATGATATTTAATGTCTCCATCTCCTTGAAAAAATTCTGTGGAAAAGGGTCTGAAGGATGAAAAATGATATTTAATGTCTCTATCTCTCACCAAAAATTCTGTGGAAAAGGGTCTGGAGAATAAAAATTTATATTTAATGTCTCCATCTCCCAGCAAAAGTTACATGGAAAAGGGTCTGGAGGATGAAAAATGATATTTAATGATTTATTTTTTTAATTTCTATAATAATATGATTAAATGATATTTAATCTCCTCGAAAAAATTCTGTGGAAAAGGATCTGGAGGATGAAAAATTACATTTAATGTCTCCATCTCCTCGCAAAAATTTTATGGAAAACGGTCTGGAGAATGAAAAAATTATATTTAATGTGTCCATCTCCCCCCAGAGATTTCATGGAAGAGGGTCTAGAGGATAAAAATTATATTTAATGTCTCCATCTCTCACAAAAAGTTATGTGGAAAAGGATCTGAAGGATAAAAATTTATATTTAAAGTCTCCATCTCCCTGCAAAAGTTACGTGGAAAAGGGTCTGGAGGATGAAAAATGATATTTAATGTCTCCATCTCACAAAAAATTATGTGGAAAAGGGTCTGGAGGATAAAAAAAATGATATTTAATATCTCCAACTCCAACCCCTCTGCCTCAATCACCTCCAGCAGCTTCATTTTATTCCCTAAAAAATTCCATTTCCGCATCCTCGGAGGGAACACCTGGGGCTCCCGTGGCCAGGACAAGCTGCCCGTGGGAAAAGGGAACGGCCTGGGGATGTTCCCGGGATATTCACAAAATTCATAAAAGTTGGGAAAAATCCTCCAGGATCAGCCGGTCCGGGCTGTGCCCCACCCCCACCTCGTCACCAAATGTCACATCCGGGGGTCCCGGGACACCCCAAACCTCCCCCAGCACTTCCCTGGGGAGAAATCCCTCCTGGAATTTCACAAATCAAACAGCCAAAACCCGCTATTTATTAATTTTTAACCTCCTATTTATTGATTAATCCATCCTGAACATGCCCTTTATTAATTTATCCAACCCAAACCTCTCCTTTATTAATTTATCCAGCCTAAACCTGTTATTTATTAATTTTTAACCTCCTATTTATTAATTAATCCATCCTGAACATGTCCTTTCTTAATTTATCCAACCCAAACCTCTCCTTTCTTAATTTATCCAACCCAAACCTGTTATTTATTAATTTTTAACCTCCTATTTATTAATTGATCCATCCTGAACATATCCCTTATTAATTTATCCAACCCAAACCTGTTATTTATTAATTTTTAACCTCCTATTTATTAATTTATCCAGCCTGAACCTCCTATTTATTGATTAATCCGTCCTGACCATGTCCCTTATTAATTTATCCAACCCAAACCTGTTATTTATTAATTTATCCAGCCTGAATTTCCTGTTTATTAATTTATCCAACCTATACATGTTCTTTATTAATTTAACCAACCCAAACCTGCAAGTTATTAATTTAATTTATTAATCCAAACCTGTTGTTTATTGATGTATCCAACCGGAACCTCCTATTTATTAATTTATCCAACCCAAACCTATCCTTTGTTAATTAATTAATGACTAGCAAGTTTGGGATGGATAAATTAATAATTATTTATTTATTAATTAAACCTCTTTTTTATTAATTTATCCAGCCTGAATCTGCTATTTATTAATTTATTCAGCCTGAATCTGCTATTTATTAATTTATCCAACCTATACCTGTCCTTTATTAATTTATCCAGCCCAAACGTGATATTTATTAATTTTTTCAACCTAAACCTGCAATTTATTCATTTATCCAACCCAAACCTGCAATTTCTTCATTTATTCAGCCTGAACCTTTTATTTATTCCTTTATCACTGCTGAATAGAGCCCTGCTGAAGGCACCACCTTTATTTTAATCTCTATTTCCTACCAAGCAGCTTAAAAAAAAAAAAAAAAAAAACACAGGAAAATCCAAAAGCCGAGGATTTTGGGGTCAGACTGTGGGGAAAAATAAAATTATTTCTTGCAAGGAGCAGCTTGACCCTCTCAAATTTTAATTTTTTTAAAAATAACCCAGCAATGCTCTCCCTGCTGAGCCTCCCAAGGGGCTCATCTTTATTTTGAGGTGAAATCCTAAAAAAAAAAATCTGGATTTGCTGAAGAAATAAAGCCCAGTTTAATATTTTTTGCTATCAAACACTAAATTTAAGGGGACAGGGCCCATCTCCTACCCAGCTCTAGCAGGGACATTTCAGCCTAACACCAGGAATAAAAGCAGCAACCATTAAAAAAAAAACAAACAAAAACCAAAAAACCACGAAAACCAAACCACACAAACACCTCCTTGTTTTCGGGTTAATATAGAAAATAAAAATTAAAAAATAAAAAAAAATTAAAATAAAGCTTGGGAACAGCTGCTCTGGCAATTTCCCCCGGGCTCCTCGGGGCAGCAAATCTGGCCCAAGCCAATTATCAGGAGTGGAAATGAGGATGAGGAGCTGGGCTTTGGCAGCACAGCTGCTCCCTCTGCTTTTTATTTTTTTAAATAAAAAACACCCCGGAATTTGTCGTTTTTCCCCCATGGATTTGTGCGTTTATTTTCTATATTAAGCTGAAAACTGTTCACGGACGCGGGTGGTGGTGGGGGCAGAGCGCCGGGCAATACTCACGATGCCGTCCCTGTCCGGTGACCCTCTGCAAAAAACAGAGAAAGGAGCTGTGTTAGCGCCCGGTTAACTCCTGAAAAATTTATTTATTTTTTTTTTTTAATTAATTCACAACAGCAAAAATCGGAATTATGACGTTATCACCACACCCGAGCTGCCTGCTCCTCACAGAACTCACACGAGATCACTGAAATTTTTTTTTTTTTTTCCCCCGGTGTTATCAGGGGATAAAATTGAGGTTTGTCAATAAAATAAATACAATATAAATAAATAAAGCGTTCCTGCCGGGGCTGGCACTGGCTCAGCTGCCTCCTGCAGGAGACACAAATCCCATCTGGAGGAATTTCCACTCTGCCAGGAGGACAGACACTGCTCACGGACCCTAATCCCCGAACTGCTTATGGGATTTAGGATTTGGGATCTGGGCTGGGTCATCCCAGCACTGTGGGATTTAGGGAATGTCAACGTCCATGGAATCCGGACGGGTTCCTGCCCCTCTCACACATCCCGAATTTCCTGCCCCGCCAGGGATGTGTCGCCTGACTCGGGGTATCACAAACTCTGCTGGCAGCTCCTCGGCTCCCCCGGGAATAATTTCCCTTCAAGTTCCCCAATCCATCCATGCCTGTGTCCCACCTCTCCTGTTTAGGCTCCAGCTCTTTGCGCAAAATCTCTGAAATCCCTTGGAAGTGGCAGAAATCCCTTGGAAGTGGCAGAAATCCCTTTTGTTTCTGTGTTTGCTCCTCGCTGTGTGACCCCCAGCACAGGGGCTGTCACCTCCTGCTGCCATCCCAGCAGCTCCAGGGACCCCAGCTCGGTGTCCTGGTGGCCCAGCCGTGGCTGGGGGTGGCCACAGGGGGTGGCAGATGTCACCGTCCCTCCTTTCCTTCTCCCCATCCCTGCCTTTTCTCCTGTTCCATTCCTCCCTTCTCCCCTATTCCATCCCTGCCTTCCTTCTCCCTCTCCATCCCTCCCTCCTCCCTCGTTCCATCTCTCCCTATTCCACTTCTCCATCCCCGCCTTCTCCCTCCTCTCCCGTTCCATCCCTCCCTATTCCACCGTTCCATCTCCGGCTTCTCCCATTCCATCCCTCCCTTCTTCTTCTCCTCCTCCATCCCTGTCTTCCTTCTCCCATTCCATCCTTCCCTTCTCTCCTGTCCCATCCCTCGCTATTCCACTGTCCCATCCCTGTCCCTTCTCCCCTCTCCATCCCTCCCATCTCCCCCGATCCATCTCTCTCTTCTCCCATTCCATCCCTGCCTATCCCATTGTTCCATCTCTCATTCCATCCCTCGCTGTTCCCCCGGCTCCATCCCTGCCTTCCTTCTCCCCCCGATCCATCTCTCTCTATTCCACTGCTCCATCCCTCCCTCCTCTCCCTCTCCATCCCTCCCTATCCCACTGTTCCATCCCTCCCTTCTCTCCCTCTCCAACCTTCCCTTTTCCCCCGTTGCATCCCACCCTTCTCTCATTCCATCCCTGTCCCTTCTCTCCCGTTCCATCCCTGTCCCCTCTCTCCCGTTCCATCCCTGTCCCCTCTCTCTCCCGTTCCATCCCTGTCCCCTCTCTCTCCCGTTCCATCCCTGTCCCCTCTCTCTCCCGTTCCATCCCCTCTGCCCGCAGGGATTTGGAGCGCTCCCAAAGCCCTTGGGGCCGTGACCGCTCCGTGACCCCGCCGTGCTAATCACCGCGGCTGCTAATTGCAGCGTCCTCCTCCTCCTCCGTGGCCTCTCCGCGACCTCCCCATTGTCCCGGGATCCCTCCCGGCCGTGCCAGCACCTTCCCAGGCTGGAGCAGCGGGATGGAGCCCTGGAAATCTCAGCCTGGATTTTCCATCAGGAGAAGACGCAAAGGAGCCTCATTGCCACCCACCCGGATAAATTGTGGGGGAATTCAGAGCCAGCTGGAGCTCCTGGCTGTCCCACATGGATGTCACCATCCCTGGGGACAGCAGGGTGACACTCAGGGCTGCGCATCCCTCTTTTGGGATCTGCTCCGTGTGTCCCATTCCCCTTTGGGGCAGGAAAAGCCCAGCGGAGATGTCAATGCCACCGGGGCCACCTGGCCGGGTCTGGGATCTGTCCCTTGGCACTGGAAATCTCCAAACAGCTCCCACCAGGACATAAAACAGCTCAGGGAAACAAATCCAAATGGAATAAAAGGAAAAACCTGGAATTTCTCAGAGCAGAGCTGCAGGAGGGGACTCCCTGCTCCCTGTCCCCAGGAGCTGGTGGCACAACTCGGGGACATCCACCCCAAAGCCACAGCGGTGGTGGCTGAGAACTGTGGAATTGTTTGGGTTGGAAAAGCCCCATGAAAACATCAAATCCAACCTGCCCCGTGTCCCCAAGTGCCACATCCGCAGGGATTTTAAATCCTGCCAGGGATGGGGACTCCTG